TCGACCTCATCGTGTTCGATTGTAATTCGTTTTAAAGTTTTTTAAATAAAAGTGKGGAGGTAATTGCCTTTCTCTCATTTACAAAAAAAAACATATGCTTCTGTAGATAAAATTTGCTTACACTTTATTTATATATTGGAACTGAGGTTTGAATGTCCACTATATTTAATGATTGATCCACACTAGGACTGTCAAATAGGTGGGCTGTCCATTGGTCAAACCCAGTTTGCGGTCAAAAGCGGGTTGGTCCGCGGTCAAAAGTGGGCAAAAACAGACCGCATTCTGAAATATCTTCCCGCAGATCTGAGAGCTCTTTCTTGAAGTATCTTGAATCGGAGAAATCTTCCAATTTTTCCAGAGATCTAAGAGCTCTTTTTTCGAGGATCTCGAATCGGTGAAAATCTGCAGTCTTCTTCTGTTCGTGGCATAATTCAGTATTATCTGAATTTGAATCTCATAATCATTTGTTCTTGTGCTTCTTGATGGTTCAATGTTTATTTGATTTGGTTACAGAGTGGGATCAAGATGCAGAGTAGCTCGAGGAAGAGAAAACTTGTTATTTGTTTGTGAAACCCAAAAACTGTCTCTCTGATAAAAACTTGTTTAATAAAGTCTCTCTAAATATTTCCTTAATATCAAATATTTTTGTGTAATGATAAGTGTTTTTGTGTAGATAAAAAGAGAGTTGATATGTCCAATTAGTTATTCATTTTTGGATATGGTCACTTTTGATTGAGCATGACCATTTTAGTTGTGTTAAGCCCGTTTGACAACTCTAGCCCAAACCATCAGCCCAAACCACCAATTCTCAGTTGGCTTGAAGTAAAGCCCAATACAGTGGAGAATCTCCAAGCTCGGAATCGGGCCTAAACAGTCTTAACGTCCTCAGACAGAGAACCGACCGACCACTAACCGTGAGTGTTAACGAGGTCCAGCGACACACAAGATTTAAGCACATAGCACATAACAAGAAACTTTTTCTTAACAGGAATATAACAAGAAACTGATATCCCAAGAAAACGCATAGCAAGAAATTAAAGTAGATATATAGAAATGAAAGTACATAATACATACATCTCAAACATAAAAAGAGCCAGATATGCTCATACACACTCCTCTCTCACACACTCATACTAACACATCGCAGGACGTGGAGACATAAAAGGACACATACAACGACCATATGCGACTGCGTTACAAACCCTTCTTATTTTTTTATTCATAAGTACACATGTTTCGTTCCAATTGTATACTACTTAACGACCACCACCACCGGGAAGCTTCTCCTTGATCTTGTCCATCATCCCCTTCTTCTCGTGGTGCTCGCCACCGTAACCACCAGCATCATACCCGGTAGTAGTTCCGGTTCCCATCCCTTGGGCTTGACCAGACTGGTCATGATGACCTGGCAACTTCTCCTTAATCTTGTCCGTTATTCCCTTTTTCTTCCTCCTCCCACCTTGTCCATCATCCTCCTGTATTATATAAACTACGAATTAATACATCATAAATCTTGTCTATACACGTTTCTTTTATAGTAGGGTCTTAACAAGAGAATTCCTATCAATAATAAAGAAAACAAGAAGAAATCTGCATTCTGATAACATACAGAGCTAGAGCTGGATCCGGATCCAGATCGGTGAAGCATTCCTCCCAACCCACCACCACTTTCCTTGTGGAGTTGCTCTTGGCCATGGTGCCTAGCT